TCGATTTTATTATTTATATTATATTTAACTTTATAATGCTATAACTTATTGAAAAGTTTATGGATCCACACAATTTTTTTATGAGAAATAATATTTTTTAATAAACCTTTTTTCATTCGACATACTTTATCTTAATCGAGATATTAATAAGGAACCAGCAGATCAAGTAGCTTTTGGAATAAAACACCAATTTTTTTAAAATTAAATACTATCTAAAGATTTGCATCGAAGCGTTTATTTTTGATAGTGATTTTAATCACTGTCAGATATCATTATACTTGATCCAACTATGCCACGTCACCACTGTGCCGCGACCCCTCTGTGCTTTTTTAACATTATGTTGCTATAACTTTTTAATTACAAAAATTTAACTTTTTTATAACAGACATGAATATAATGAATGACCGAGTTTTTTAGTTCAGTTGAATCAGATGTACTAGGTATTGTTGATCAATCCTTGTTGGAGTATTCAACTGTCAATATGAGCGTACAATTATTTAGTCATTACAATGACAGCAATTTTATATCTAAAAAGAGTGGAAAAGGAAATATACTACACTCCAATGGTTTTATGGGTAAAGTCAAGTCTTTTATGATAAAAAACGAGGTATTTAAAAATCCATTAAAATTATGTTTCATTAGTTTTTTTTATAAAAAATTACATTATTTAGAGAGGTGTGCTCAGTGATTAGGTAAGACAGGCCCTGGCTGTCTACCTAATGGCTTACCCTATTTTCAGAGCCAACTTTAGGCACGGCACTCGTAAAATGTTTTATTTTCAATTAATGACCAAATAAAAACGACCCTAGAGACGGAGACGCTAATGCATCTGGATGCTCATGTATTTCGGCCCTCTCAACAGGTTTTTTTGATAACTTTTTTTTTTCTCACCAGAAATTTTTTCTTTGTATCGCCTATTATAATAACCGGACTGCCCTAAATTTTCATTATGTTCATATCTCTGATTATTTACAATACATGGCATATTTTATAATACAGTGTTATAAAGGTACATTTATTAGTGAAAATAATGAAATTATAAAATATCTTGTTTTGCAAAAATTTATTATTATAACAGTTTATCCTGTCTATGACGATGACTAAAATATTATACCAACTTTTGAAAAAAAAATCGAAAACTATTTGCCGTAGTGCCATCCACTGTACCCAGGAGCTTATTCACATATTTTCCGTCTATAGGCATTTAAACATATGCCGCCCTTCATTATGTTATGACGGAGGGGGCTCAATTTTATATATTTTTGCCGTAACACTACTAATTCTTCCTACAAAAAAGAAAAAAAGTATTTAAAAATATTTACAATAAAATCTATGTTTATTATTAAATCATAAGATGAATTGCTTGTAGCGACTAATATACATATCTTAAATACACAATAAATGAAAACGATTTTGATAATCATTAGGAAGTCAATTTGTCATAACAACTATAAAAAAAAAAACTCGCTTTTTATAAATTTGTTGGGGTTCAATATTTGCCGCCCCTTAAAATATGCCGCTGTAGACAGTTGCCTGTATTGCCTTTGCATAAATACGCCGCTGTCTGCACCACTGAATAAGTTTCATAAAAACTGCTATTAGTATATAATTAAATCGAAGTTTGTGTAATATTTTTTCTATAATGGAACATACAATATCAGAATATTAAAAATTATAAACTTCAATTCATACATTTATATCTGTACTTATCAACGAATTTTAATATTTAAAATTAAATTTAAAAAATACTCCAATTCGACGATCATTTGCAGATACTTACTCGAACATCAAGTTTGCTGAACTGGTATCAAAGTATGTCCGAAAATCTTAAATCACATAATGAAGAAATGTTATCCAGTGAAACCACGTGGACCTTAGACAGGATTATGTTTTTTGAAATTTATTTTTATAAAAATAGTATAGATTCATAAAGTACTATTTAATTTTTATATATTAATTTTATGATATTTCAATAGTTTTTAAATTAAGTGATATTTTCAATATTTATTTATTTATATATTTTTTTAATATAAATTGAAGAAAAATGATGTTAATTATTAAATAATATATTAACTGTATATTACCTCAAGAAAGTAATATACAATTNCTTGTGTATTAGAGTATTATTGTAATGCAAATGGTTATTTGGTTGAATATCTCGAAAATATTGCTTCATTATTTAAGAAAAATGATGTTAATTATTAAATAATATATTACCTGTATATTACCTCAAGAAAGTAATATACAATCAAGTTTTATATGTTAATTGATACTTTGTAAACAAGGCTACACTTAAACATAATAATATATCAATTTAACAATAAATTTTGTAGAAAAAAAAGTATACCAAATAATATAACATATATTTTAATTTTATTGGTATTAACTTACAATGGAATGAAAAAAATAGATAGTTCATTAAATATAATTAAAAAATTATACAATAGTAAATTTTAAATGAGAGTATATAGTTTAGATAAGTATAATTTTAAAATTATACAAAAAATGTAATAGTATAATGGAAATCAAAAAAAAAAATTTCTAGAGTTGTATAGATTCAATAATGTATGTCTTAAATTTGAAAAATAAAATTTTTTTCATTATGAAATGTTAATACTTTCTATTAGTTCTTTTCTAGTACAGTTTTGTAAAAAAAAAAAAAACAAAATTAATTTATGTGATTGTATCCCTGATTTTCCGTTTATAAATATTGTTTTTTATTGTTACAAAACAACATTATATATTTTACATCCACAGCCTTCTATTTATAACACAATATATTAACAACATGAAATGTTTAAAGAGTAAATATTTAACAAAAAGAATATTTTCTTAAGACTAGAGATATAAATCATAATTTTTTGATATTAAATATTAATGTGATTAATCATAAATTATTAAAATCAATTGAAATAATATATAATTAAATTAAACATTTTAAGAAAAAAATTAACTAAACATAAATAATTGGACATATTTTTTATACAGTATAGAAATGACCAGATCATTTAAAAATAATAACAGAAAGTAACATAAGACAAATATTATGACTGGGAACAATGAAAAAAAAATAATTATTTATATAAATAATGATTATAATATTAAAATTTGAGCCAAATATTTTTCTAAAATAAGTTAACACCAAGAAAAAAACGGACTTTTATTTTGAAATCTTTGAGTAAAAGTATCACTAAATGAACGAAACTTGGATGTTGTTCCAACATGGCCTTTGGATCTAAAATAAAAAATATTCATTAATTATTGTTTAATATATTATGAAATTTATTTTTATTATAAATAAAGTTTTTTAAATTTTATATAATGTTTTTTAAAATATAATTTATAAGAGTGCAGTTTTGAATTTTACAAAGTTTTCAATCACATATTATTACAAAAAAAAATTGGATTCTTGTAAAAATTATTTTAAATTATGAAGAAATGTATAGGTTTTTTTTTTGCTGTCATTGCAGAATAATTTTTTTTTAACTTTTTTAAAAAATTGACATGATGGTTGTTTATAAATTCTGAAGTGCAATAAAATTTAAGTTTTAGTTTTGAAGTTTATAACTTAGAGTATAATTTGCACAGTAATAAAGTTGTTTAAAGAGATTATACTTTCTTTGATGTTGATATTTTCTGGAACTAGGCTATATTGAATACGATAATATAGGATTGAATACACAAAAACAGTTGTCTCATAATTAAATATAAAATATTACACACAATTATCATTACAAAAACTTAGCACACCAATTTATACAATTAATACTTAATTATTGACGAGTCAAAACCAATTAATTATTAATTATAATGTGTATTTCAGTGCTGCAATCTATTTAAAATTATCATCCAAGTAAGATTATTTTGAAAATTATGTAAATTAAATCAAAGTTAGGTAATAAGTAATTTTTATGACATAATTATGTCTAATTAAGAAGAAATTTACTTTTAAATACAATAATTATTTTTTTTTGGAAATGTATTTTTTTTTTTAGACTTAAAGTTTTATTAGTAATGTAAATAATGAATGCACAATAAATAAAAATTATTCTTAGTTATTTGAATTAAGTAATAAGGTATTAATTCAATAAGTCAAAAGTATAAATATTTTAAATTTACAATATTTACTAAATAAAAAAATTACATCAACATAAGAACAATCTAAAGAATAAACTGAGGAACTGATTAAAAGCAGAAAACATTGAAACCCGTTTGAAAAAAGTAGAGAATATAATAAAAACAACCGTTGTGGAACACATAGGACAAAAGAAAAGAGTAAAAAAACATAAATGGTTTAACGATAAATGTCAGAGAGCTATCGAAGATAAGGATAAAGCAAAATCATTAAAGCTTACAAACCCAAACACAGAAAACAATAAAAAAATTGCACAGAAACTTAGAGAAGCTAAAGGCACAATAAGAAGAGAAAAATGGTTATGGGAAAAGGAAAGAATAGAACAGATCGAAAAAAAAAATAGTACAAACCCAAGGTGGTTCTTCTTCAAACAAACAAAAGAACAAAAAATGGGATATATCCTGAGAATAGAAATAATGAGAGACGAAAACGGAACTCTTGTAACAAATGGAGAAGGAATTGCAAAACAATTTGGGAATTGCTCAACCCACATACAAGATAATTCTATCCACAAATAGAGTACTATACTGCGGAACCTGAAGATACTCAACAAACAAAGAAATTAGTACAGTGATAAATGGATTGAAAAACAACAAATCACCGATTTTGGGCGAAGATGGGTTAGCTGTGGAACTTTTTATGTACGGTAGAGAGGAATTGATAAATGAAATAGGTAAATTAATCAGAGAAATATGGAATACAGAAGAAATACCAAATAGATGGCAATTAGCAATAATCTGTCCAATCTATTAAAAGGGAGATGTTTTAAGCTATTTAAAACTACCAAGGAATATCACTGTTGAACACAATGTATGAAGTATTTTCAGGTATCATATTAAACAGAAATACGCCTTATACAAAAGATATTATTGGAAACTACCAGTGTGGTTTTATGAGAGAAAAATCAACCATAGACCATATTTTCACGGTTAAACAACTAGTTGAGAAACATTATGAATTTGACAAGGACCTACATTTATTGTTTGTTGACTATAAACAAGCATATGACTCAGTCAATAGAGAAGTGCTATGGAAAGCACTCATAATCTTTGGAATACTGGCTAAAACAATGAAAATGATCAAACTATGCATATAAAACGAGTTAAGACAGGACCCTGACAGGGAAATGCATTATCCCCAGTACTCTTTAATATAGCGCTGAAAACGATAGTAAAGAAAACGAAGAGCAAGTATGATGGGCTAAACTTAGAAGATAATATAAGACAATGCGGAACTTTAGCGTATAGCGTATGTATAGCATATACAAATAAGTATGCAGATGATATTATCATATTAGGATCAAATAAACAAGTAATAATGGGCACAAGGAGCTAATAAAAAATAGCAAAGACATTAGATTACAAATCAATGAATCAAAGACTAAATAATATATGGTAATATCAAGACGAGAAAATAATTGAGAACATATAGAAGTTGAGAATTTTAAGTTAGAAAGGGTATATAGTTTTAAATATCTGGGTGTTACAATAAATAGCAAAAATAATAATCACAAAGAAATTAATATAAGAACTACTGCAGAGAATAAATGTTATTTTGGGTTAACGAGCATTTTTAAATCAAAACAAGTATCAATTAAATCGAAAATTACACTATACAAAGTAATTATCAGACCAGTTCTTTTATATACTTGTGAAAAATGGCCAGCGACCAAAGGAGATGAAGACAAAATAGCAATCTTTGAAAGACGAATATTAAGAAGAATATATGGGTCAAAAAGAAATAATATCACACAACAATATGAAAGTAGAAGTAACATAGAATTACAACAGCTAAAGAAGTGGACATAGTAGCAGTATTACAATATAGAAGAATTGTATGGGCTAGCCACATATGGAAGTCAATGAGCTAATGGAGCCTAATGAAAGTGGTATTAAAATGGAAAACCTTTGGGAAAATACCACTAGGCAGACCATTAAAAAAATGGATAGACAAAGTAAAAAAAGATTTCAGAATAAATTGGAATACAAGATATGGATACAGTAGCACAAGATAGAGACAAGTGGAATCTAATTTGTGTTGTAATAATGGGCCTCAATAGCCTTCGAAAAACCGAAGAAGAACTAAATAAAAAAAAATTTATTATGGCATAGTTGTAGGAGAAGAGGCTATTGAGGAAAATCGAGCTCTTCCCAAATTCAGAATTTTATATTTCTTATTTAAATATCAAAATTATAAATATTATTTAATTCATGCCTAGAGTTGATTTATTTTTTCAGCCTTTCCCAATAATACCCCTAATATGCATTAGTGTATTTTCCATGGGGGCTGTGAAAGCTTTAGTCTTCATAGAAATATTTGTTGCCTTTTAAATGTATTGAATGTATTTTTAGTGGGGGAGGAGATAAAGCAATATGGTAGAAAAATTTCATGTCAGGTCTTTTATCCGAATTTATTAATTAGAATATGAAACTATAGTCCACATAGACAATTTTTTCAGACTATGCCTATGCCAATATGACCTGAATAAGATAAGCTATACCATTAAACAGTTATCTTAAAGTTTTCTTACCTTTCAACAATAACAGCTGGCATTTGAACAAGTTGTACTGGACTTTTGCCATCTTTTAGTGCTTGAGTAAGATTTAAAATTTGCCCTCGCATAACACTCATTTGTTTTTCAAACAAATGTCGATCAAAACCTTTATCCATCTGAAATGAAATTGAAAAATTTCAACTATTTATAACAATATTTTTTAAATAAAATTTGTTTTTGTAATTTTTACTTTAAAGAGAGTATAGAGATCATCACATAAATCTTGAACAAAATTCATATCTGATAAATAAGGAAGAATAAGTTCTTTTATTTCTTTACTAAATGGTACTTTAGCTTGTGGTAGCCAAGCCCAATGATATGGATAAGCACGCCAAGAATCTGGGTGTTTAAAGGGGAATGCTAGACCATTATCAATAGCTGCTATTTTAATATCTGGTTCTTGGGTAACATTCCATTCCTAATTACAGTTAAAATAAAAGATAAATATACATTTTTTAATTATAATTCCTTTATTTTATTTTAACTTACTGTTGAACATTCACTTAAAGTAGAATTAGTAAGACTTCCATTAGGGCTAGAGTTAACACTGGGCTGATCATATCTTATGAGCCAATTATCATTACCTCTATCGGTGTTACGAATAATATAATCTAAAACAACTAATTTTTCAAATTGAATTTGAAAATGTGACTGAAGGTTTAAAGGTAGTGGAGCCAGTTCTAATCGTCGTAACCAATATTCTGCATCCTTGTAACCTTCCATAAACAATTGAAATGATCCAATCTAAAATTGAAAATTTCATTAAAATATACTGTTAGTATATGAATTACACACTAACAAACCTTTGGCCTAAGGCCAAGCCTGTTAAAACGACGTCCTAATTTAGGGAAATGATCATTTATAGCATGTTTCATCCTAGTTTTCTCTCTATCTATTCGGCCATAATTAAATGTTTCGCTTACTAACTTAGCTACCTTTGTTTTGGGTACAATATTCAATCCCAATTTAGTTGATACCAAACTTGCTCCCGCTTCAGATAAATATCCCTGATTTGGTATTAAGCATGAGCGTCCAAAGCAACAAGGACAGCAATTTTTGTGTAACCATTTTGTCCATTTAGGGTTTAAAAGCCCATATGGTTCTTCATCTTTAGGTTTGAAAACCCCAATAATTTTCTAAAACCAATAGATTTTCTTTATTTTTAAATCTTAAATTCTACTGTCAGAAAAATAATACTTACACCATTTGGATCTTTAACAAAGTAACTCCCACTGGATCCTTGATAGATTCTATCTGGGAAGACACCATTATCAATAGCTACTTCTGCTTGTTTTATAACTGCTGAAAAAGCTGGATCATCTAGTAAAAACAGTTATCACAGAAGTTAATTAATATAAGAATTAAACTATATTTAAATATTTATTTGATTTCAAATTGAAATTAATAATTCATATAATTGAGAAAAAATATATTAATATTTGAGGTCATACAAAAATTAATAAGATTCTAATTTACCATTTATTACAATACTTTCATAATTAGTAATAGTTGATGTGTTGTCATACATATTGCATACTATAATTTCTAAAAAAGAAACATACAGCACTAATACATGATTTTAATTTAAACACGAATATTTAAAGAACTTATTATACAAAGCTAAATGGCAGCTTTCAATGACTAATATCAGTTTTGAAGTGGGTATTCTATTCCTTTAGTTATTTCCCCTACTCTAAAAATGTTTGACATATCAACAGTAATAATTAAAGTTTGGAGGTGTGGCTTAAAGTATTTATTTTTTGTCATGAATCAGGTGTGTTGTAAAATGAGTAAAAAAATCTAATTTCCTATGTACACTAAAACAAATACTAAGCGATAAAGTTTTGTAATCCTAGTAACTTGTTATTTTCTACTAGAAAATTTTTTTTTCAAGTTATAGTTTAACCTTTGGTCAATTTATTTTAATCAGCAAGTTTAATAAGCTATAAAAATTTGTTGAATCATCATTAAAAAGATTGATTGATTTTGTAGTGTACAATTCTTTTTAAAGAAATTTTAAGATAGTTTGAATGTTACATATACAAGAATTATGCCAAAATATATTTCATAATACCTACTCAAGAATTGGGTTACATGGCTTTTTTCGAAGTAATAGATACAGGTTAAAAATTTCAAGCCAGTTTTCTGGCTTTTTTTTAAGTTTAAGTTTTTATCTTAATCTGTATTTATATGAGATTACTTTGAAATAAAATTATTTATTTCATTAATGTTAATATTGTTTCTTGGGAAAACTCCTTAAAAACAATTATTATCACAAAGAAATATCACACATTTAACAAAATTCCTGAAATGTGTGAAAGTAAAAATACCTTCTAAACAAATAGTTTTAATTGTAAATTATTAAGAAAATATATGTTTTATCTAATGTTAGTAAAAATTATTGGTCCTGAATTAAATTTGAACTAATATAATCAAGAGTTAAAAAAGTATTTAGAAAATTATGGATTATATATAATATAATTTAGGATAAATATTAATCAAGGATAATTAACTTTTCTTCTCAATTATAACATACTAAAAAACTAAAATTAAAATAAATTTTTTACTTTAAGTTTATAGAAAATTGTACAGTGAGTTAATTAAATGTTTGGACACTCTTAAAAAAAAAAAAACACATCATAGTAAAACCAATACCTTCTCAGCTTCGCATCGAAGCTAAAAATAATTTGGCTCTCAAATTTCCATCATCTTAAGGACCTTTAAGTATGGTCAACACCAAGTATGGTCGTAAGACGATGGAAATTTGAGAGGCAAATTATTTTTCTTAGACTATGTCTGAATATTTACTTACCTCACTGTAGATAAATAAAATCACTTAGATATAAATATATTATAAATAAAAGCATTTAACAATAGTTATTTACCAGGAAAGTTATTATATCCTGGACAATGGTCTATACGACCTAGTAAAGGTTGATTTTCTCTATCTTTGGTATCCAGATTGTCGTTGGATGGTTGCTCAAAATCAATATCTGGGATTATTGAATGATAAATAGATGATTCAGGTGAAGCCTGCTGTACTATTCCATTGGTTTCTGGGTTTTCTTTGTTCATTTAGAAGTTGGTAAACAAAGAAAATAGTGACGTGAAAGAGACGATTTTTTTGAAAAGTTAGTCATAAATTAAGTAATGTTTGAACTACTCAATACTTACATGCTAAAAAATTTAATACAAAAATAGTTCATTAATTAATATTGACAAGTTATTTGAAATACTCACGGATCTAAACAAAATTAAAACAATATTGATATATGAATTATTTAAAGTGACAGTATATTTGAAATATCATAATAGTCAGTCCTTAAAAAACATATGTTTTAAAAAAAATATATATATATATTATGTATTTCATGCGATTGTAATAATAAGATCTATCCTCCAGTTAATTTAGCCTTCAAGTTTTCGCATTATCTACAATGTTGTCGTATAGATAATAAAATTTCATAAAAATCAACGAAAAACTTTTATTCTTCCATGACAAAACAACGTTGCAAAAATATGCTATCAAATAATATTATAGACTTTCATATTACTATTTGTTTGTATTACAATCATGTCTTCGTAAGTATAGTATTTCATATTATTATTTAAACTAGGGCCGATTCACAGGATAACATCTTATCTATTCTATGGTTCAAGTGTATATTTTTACTACCCATGAAAACATAATTGTATTGTCCTTGAAAATTTATCCAAATACCTTTTTAGGATAGTAATGAATAATAAAAAAAATTCGTAAGTGTTATTGAAACACAAAACATGGACACGAAATCATAATATTTATGGTTTGGAAGAATAATCTCCTACTACTCTACAATTTAAAATCTATATGAACCCCCGATAAAAAAATTCTAATTTCGATACTGGTATATGTAAAGGAATAATAAAATTAAAACTTATTTATTATATAAAATTTAAGCTGAACTGTAACAAGATTTTTATTTATTCAAAATTAATGGAACGTGTAGTATTTTTTTTTTTTAGTGGTGATTTTAAAAATTTATCAGAGAGTAAATTTGAACTCGTGAATCCTTGAAAGGGTTAGTCTCTTTAACTCACCCACTCATCAATTGATTCCTTTGAATTGCCTATTATATTCTATGATAATCCCTATATGTAAGGGAGAGTGCTCAGCTTATCAAAAATTTCAGTAGCCTAACATTGAAATTATTTTATATTGTCAACAAATGTTAACAGTCTAAAAATTTTACTTTACTAGATTATTCTAGCCTTTTCAAAATCTTAGTTTTTTATCTAAAATAATGATTTAAAATGGGCAATGAGGAGATGTAGCTTACTACTCCCTAAATACTCAACTGAGTTTTCATATATAGAGTATAATCTATAAAAACCCAGCACAGTGAGGTCGCAGCATAGTGGGGACGTTGCATAGTTGGGTCCAGTATAGATTTAATCTGACAGTGATTAAAATCATTATCATAAGAAACGCTTGGATGCAAATCTATAGATAATGTTTAATTCTAAGAAATTGATGGATAATTACAAAAGCTACATCAACTTCTATTTCCTTAATTAAACCCAGATTATTAATTCTTATAATTATATATTATACAATTTTTAAAATTAATTGTTTTTAAATTATTATTGATTTTGATTTTTAATATGATAAAAGTAATCATTTTGAACCTACTTTTTTTTTGTCCTTTAAAGTGAAAGTTTTAATAAAAAAAAAAAAA